CGATAGCAATGGATATCCACGATTGCTCGATTGTTGCAGTTCTTGTCTTAGTAAGTTTTATTCAAATTATACGTATTTGATAAGTTTATATTCATCAAATATTCATTAAGTATCAAAATATCGAAATTATTTGATCTATTAACTCAAATCACAGCAATCAAAAAGAAAAGAAACAGCAATTTGAATATAAGGGTTTAAGAGAAGCGATACTAATGGAACTGGTTAAGAAAGAAATTACAATATGTTTATGAGTTAGAAATGTTTTGAAAATATCCCGAAATTCTTGATTCTTCCGAATATACCTGGAAAATTAGTTTTCAAGCAATTTGCAAAAAATATTTAAAAATTGCATATCAGGAAATTCGCGTGATACTAGCTCAATCAACAACAGATCAGCAATGACAAGCAGGAAACAATCATTGTTTGAGCCTAGCAAAAGTGATTACAAGTGGCGATCTGCAGATGGACAGCAGGAGCAACAGCAACAACAACAACAACATCAAATGAATCAACGAAAATCAGAAAATATCCCTGAAGCAATGGATGAACGGAAACCGGAAAATCTTTTTAGCACGTCAACATTTTGAAAGAGTGTGTGAAAAATCTTAGTATCATGATTATTATCAGCTGGGAGATCAGTGTACAAATGTGCCAAATATACGCTCAGGTGATGACATAAAATTTTTTACCACAAACGGATGGATGAATCCGATGAACAGGTATGCGGTAATGAGGACCAATCCGTGTTGATATTTTGCCATCTCATTTGATTGTTTTTGCCGAGAAAATGATCCCCCTCCATTTATGAGTTAAAAGTTATTTTTTTGAGGAAAATAACTGATAAATAATATTTCGCTCAATTACTCTTGATTGACAACAAGAAATATTTGTAATGCTACGCAACAGTTATTCATTCTTACAAAACCAATTTTTCACCAGATAATTTTAAGCGAAATTCATTAAGAAATCTTTTGAACTCACTAAAATTTTTTAGAAACATTCACTGTCCTCATATAATTAATTTATTATTTCAGCAAAATTTCTTATTACACAGACACACATTCAATATTTTGAATCCTTCATTTTATTATCACTTAAATGTCCACATCTTTTGGTCATCCCTAAAGCGAAGCAGTAAAATTATCCTTTTTCAGGTGTATCTTTTTTTTTAACCTTGTTAAGACGACTGAACCCTCCATCAGTTTTATGCAACTGATTGTGAAAATGAACACTGAAAAAAATACAATCATTACATACTGGGTAGATAGATTTGATACAGTTGAAAATATCTTGAACAAATCACAACACAAAAACAATATTGCTAGTTACTAAAAATAATCAAAGGAATGAGCAAAAGGATTTCGTTGATTGATAAAAAAAAAGTTAAAAATATGGAGAAAAAAGAACGAAACATTGCTAGTGCCATGAACTACATCGGAATAACAAAGTACCTACACAGTAAAGCAAGCGATAGCATTTAAAAATAGGCTAACTAATTTTATACAAGAAATTGAGGAAGCAAGATAAAACAAATAACAATACGTATATATAAAAAATAACTGATTTTCCATATTGATGGAGTGGTTGACAAATAATACAAGTGTAAAGGGCGATTTTTTGGAAAATATATCACTGATAAACACACTAGCTAAATTTATTAACTGCACTTTAACTATACTAATGAAGTTCATAATATCCGGCCCAAACATACAATGAACGTTCTGGTTTACGACAAATAACCATAAATGTTGTTTTATAAACAGTATAAAATTGTTTGCCATTTTGAGTTTTCAAACTTCGACCAGGAACATCGGGTTCTGTTTGCAGCCGATAATTTTTAAGATAAAATAATACAATAAAACAGTGAAGGCGAGTAAGTGACGAAAAATAACAGCCGAATAAGTGAATAAAAAAATAAAAGGTCAACAGTACCTCGTAAACTGTTGTTGGATGAATATTACTTATCTAAAAACAATATAGTCATCAAACAATATTACAACCCCTCAAATATGTACAAAACAATCATGCATCCTGGGCAAAATAATCATGAATAACTCGTGTTAAAAGAAAAAAGCACTCAAATTTTTTTCTTTTCTCTACCTTTTACCGGTCCGAGATGCCTGCGACATTAAACATGAAAAGGAACAAAACCAAAAGAATGATGAAAACAGATTACAGGAAAATATGAACTGGATCTAAAGAAAAGATACTATGGGAATGATAAATAATTAATAGAGGATAAATTGCATTCCAGGGCGCCTTAACAAATCTAATGTATGAATTGTTAGCAATGAGTTCTTCTACTCAGCAGCAAGCGAAATCGAAAAATATATATGTGCAAAAGAAATTAAAATGACTTAATGTTGTCACAAAGATTCTTTTTCTTTAAACAGTAACTCTTGATTAACCCTCAAAATCTTCACTGTAGATACAAAAAAAAAAAACTTTCCACTGTTATACACCAAACATAAAATAACGTATAAAGAATTTACCGCTTCCAGTCCGTCTAGCAAATAAAATAATGATACTGAGAGCAGGATTAAAAACTAAGTTTTAATTTCAAGTAGAATTTTTCGTAGAAATGAAAAAGACTTAGCAGCGAACTGCAAAAAAAACTAACTCGTGAAATACTTGAGCCCTTTGTTTCGGAAATATGTACCCTTCGATCTGTCGGAAAAAAAGAAAAAATGATAGAAAATAAGCATCAGAAGATCCAAAATTTGTTTTCTCTTCGGTTCACCACATATTTACCAACAGTAGTTTTCAGTCATCAATAAAACGATATCCTTTACGACTTAAAACAGTTTTCAGATAATCGATTTTTTTGCGTTCTTCTTCTGGAATTTCATTTTCACCAACCTACAACATTTATTGTCTTTTTACAAACCATGATAAAAAATTATGAATTTTAGTAACTTAAATTCCCCTCATATCACTACACTCGCTTTTCCGTTCTTGAAGCACTAGTATCATTGCAGAAAGCTTCATACTGTCTACGGTGAATCATTGGGACTACATAACACGACGCTATAATCTCATAAGAAAAACTGGCTTTTAAAATTTCTAGTACTATTCGGCAGTTTAACACGATATATAAAATGTTTGTTGCTGCCTTGATATACTTTTTTCATCGACAATCAGTAATCTAGCAGTTTTGTAAATTTTTACCAAATTAAATGTATTATCAGCTTCTTCGTCCAGCACATCTTTCGGCTCGTTACTGATCAGTTTACAACGTAAACTTGGTTTTCCGAGTATAAGCGAAGCAAAGAATACATCATGCGATCGATCGTCTACCAGTAAATACTGTGCTATTCCAGCATCAAAAACCTTAAATAAACAATACATCTTTTGAAAAATTCTGTATTTGTTTCCACGAGTCTTATATATGAATATTATTCTTAAATCTTTAAAAGAGAAGAAAATGTCACTTACTGCTGAAAGGTGATTAGCGCAATACTTACAGTAATGTCACCATCAAATTCCCACGCGGGATTCCAGTTCTTGACCAAATGAAGCACATCCTTGATCCTGATATCAGGACCAGTTGGTTTCATAAGCCTAGTAGAAATATCTTTCTGATGTGCACCGAGAGGACGATACATCTGCAATATTTTGTAATAAACAACTCATCTACAGTTAGCAGAAACAAGAAAAAAAATACACACCGAAAAAGTAATACGTAAAAAATATGCCGACGTGATAGAAGAGCAAGTCAACGACAAAGAATGGTAATATAAAAGTGTAACATATTCCTTATCAGCAATTCAACATGTGCTGTATGCTTCTACAAAATGTAATTTTTTCATAACACATTAAAAAAATCAATTCTTTTAATATCTGAATCATCAATTTTTTATCTCACTTGGCACAAATAAATAGCTTTAAATTTTGTCCAGTAGATGATGAAGAGATTTGAGCACGTGTTACGTGTACTTCTCATCACTGTAGTTTGGCAAATTCTTTGCATCTTCAGTTCCTCAATATTTACCATGTTAATAACGTTAATAATCCCTATATAATAGAAAATGAAATTTAGGCAAATAATTCCATTAAGTTGAGTACAAAATGGAGGATTAACTTCTTGTCCATCTTCCAGCTGTTATTACATCAATTCGCAAAATAATTATGATATCCTAATTTATTCAAAGTTTGATTAGAAATCAGGAAAACAAAACAATTCTGAGATAATTTTGTTCAAATTTTCAAATGGCTAGCATAACGTAGAATGAAGTAGGAATTCAGGATCGAAAAATCCTTAAAAAAAAAGAAAACTTGTAAAAAAACATGACAAACATGATTCAGACTTAAAACCAACAAATCAAAGTGACTAAACCAACAAATCAAACTAACTTTTATATTTCAATTTTTATCAACGCACCAAAAGCATCGCAGATTTCATCATCGTCGTCTAACGTGATAGGCGGAATTTTGAATGTAGTGGAAATTATTGTAACTGTGATGGTGTGGTACAGTCTTATATTCCGGAAAATTTACCGGATTCGTTGTTATATGATATTTCTATTATGGAAATTTTTCCAAATATATTTTATAAATTCATCCAGATTTATTCTATACACCAGTAAAATTTTCTATAGTTCGACATTTTTCCGATTTTTTCTTTCTGCTTTTTTGTATTACGTTTATCATTGCATGATGAGTAGATATAATGCCTAGCTTATACTTACATTGCCTTATAGATAATTTTGCTACTTCGGGAAGTTTTTCTTTGATCCTTTGAAGTATTGAGAAATTGTTTGGAATTTTTTCTTTGTTCCTTTGAAATATTGAAATGAATCAAGAAATTTATTACGGAACACAGATCCGAAAAAGTTAAATAATGTACCTTCAATGACGAGTCATTTTCAGGATGAAAATAAAGAAACAAATCGAGGAAATGGGTGAAGACTTACTTCTTCCAGAAAAGGCAATACATTTAAGCCAAAAATGTGGACATAATAATGGGTGAAGTAGAAATTCAAGTGCTGAAAATTTCTCGGAACTCTTCCAAATTAATTTTACATTAAAAGGAAACTATACTGCTCTAAATTAACAAATATTAATTACTCAACTGATCAATTGATTCAGGTGTAAAACCAATTCTAACTTCCTCAAATTGTGATTACTGTTGTAAAATAGATGTTAAATATTAAGTATTTGAAACATATTCCTTGATTATGGAATTGTAAAGTTTGAGAAGTTTTCCAGATTTTGGTTGCTAAGAAGCTGATCAGATGAAGCTTGTATTGTAATTATGATAATTTTGGGTTGTATTCATCAAAATCAATGATAGGGATTTCTTAATTAGATGATGATTATAGGATGGATTGAGGAGCAGGTGCTATTGATGGTGATTCTCGTTTATGAGAGAGGACAGGATAAGCGCATGCATCGGATTATGGCGCAAAATGTCGGCAAGAAGCTCCGTGAGATATTTACGTTAATTGGAAAGTCAATTGTTAATTATCATGCAAATGTGCGGTTTTTCTTAGTATTCATCCTTTGCATCGTTCCACTTCACTAACACTTCGCGGCTTTCTTTGATTTAAATGAACCAAAAAAAAGGAAAAAAAAACGAATATTTTTA